TGCACAGTCATGTGCTGTTCAGTGCAAAACCACAGCCCTACAAATCTGCAAGTCACCGGGAAGACACTGTACACAATTTGAGCAGGTAAAAAGTATTATGGAGTTCAGGACTCTGGTTACACATTCATCCCTAAAAGAGTGCCAGGCTGTAGCACTGGAAGTGATGTGGAGGGGCAAGGGACAAGTACTCATTTCCCATCCTAGATTTTCACCTAACCATCCAATTACTGTTTTTCCCACAGCTGAATAGCATGGAAGAACCATGGGTACAAAACAACCTCATTACCACCTCTCCTTCCTTACTGCTCTTCCTCATCTCCCCTCAACCCAGTGCAAGAGGGGCCGGGGCCATCTTCAATCCAGTCTTGCTGCCTCACCTTCTGCCACTCCTTCTTCTGCTGGTTCTCCTTCATCAGAGGTAGCCTTCCCCCACCCAACCCAAACACACACCTCAGCTCATGGTGATCTTACCTTTCTACTCTATTTATGGATAATATCCCTAGTGTAGGAACCACATTCACACCCCTCCTGCTTCCATCCTGTATAATGTATCCAACAAGACCCACCCGATTCACTTTCCAGGCCCAGCCCACCTTGTCTGTTACCCATCACTCCCAGTTCTGTGCACCAGGACACCAGCCCCTGCCACCTGCTCATTTGATTTTTATTTTTGTGGTAACCTTTGTGTTTTGAAAACACCCTCCATACAACTACATAACCCTCCTCCAAACACTCCTCCACTTGGCAAGAGTAAGAGCACCCTGGGCAGATAGCACTACCCATCCCTTCCCAGTATCCACAGTATTCATGTTTTGCCCTCCTCCCTCCGCCTGCAACCAGCTACTCTCCCTACTCTAACACTAAATCTCTCATCTGTGGGGCAAGCATTGTTGCTCTTGTCTTGCCTGGGTTTTGGAAAACAGGCGTTTTGCCTGCCCAGGAGCTGGCTGCAGCCCTTGGCGACGGCTGTCCTGCAGTGCCCTCTACCGAGCCAGAGACAACTGCTCCTCCCCGGTCTCCGCGCTGCTCCTTTCCACCCGATAGTTTGCTGTCCATTACTCCTGTTCTGAAATGCCAGAACCACAAGGTCCGATTCCCTCCCCAGTCCCAAGAGGCAGTGCTCAGGAAGAACCATCTGCCACACAATGCGGTGTTTTGCCCATTGCTGTCCCCCAGTTTCTGGGTACATTTCCACATCCAGTTGTTCCAGCATCCAGGGGCAAATAAAGCAAAAAAGGCAAGCAGGCAAGGTGCCACCTTTTGCACTTGAAAAGCCTCACAGAGACCGCCCAGCTCAGCTCAAGGCCCAGGCATGGTAGGAATAGCCCCACCTCTCCCTGTGAGTGGTGGGATGTATTCAGGCTCAGAGTGCTGCTTGCTCCGTACCTGTGAGCGATCGTCAGAACAGTTCTGTCAGCAAAGCGCTGGCGGATGGTCTGCTGCAGCAGTTGGTCTGTCTTCTGATCCACACTGGCTGTGGCCTCATCGATGCACAGCACCTGCCAGGGACAGAGAGTAATGGGAGCTCCCAAGCGCCCCACGGGACACCCCAATCTCTCCCTAGAGACAGCCCAGAAGGCAGCATAGTATGTCTGTTGCCATCACACCCCAATTCTGGAGCACTCTGCAGCTCCCACACAGCCATCAGCAGCTCGCCCCCTTCACCCTTGCTCCAGGAAGGCAGAGTACTCACCTTGGCCTGCGTCAGGAGGGCTCTCGCCAGACACACCAGCTGCCTCTGGCCCCCAGACAGACTCT